AAAAGGCATTTCTGATCATATAATTCACCAGTTAATAACCCTCCAAGTGTTTCCTAATTTTCTCAGGATAAACAACAAAATCTTAAATCTACAGAGACATCCTAGGCCCTATAAGACCAGCTCCTACCTACTTCTTCCAGCTATTTCACCTTTAAGTCATTTCTACATTAATCTGTCACAAGCTCTTTGTTCCTGCCCATCTTAGAGTCACTGCAACATTATTCTCTTTGTTGAGAAGGCTACTCTCATCTCCTGTCTTCTCCCAGTACTTCCCTCCAGATCCACATCTCTAACCTACTGGACACCGACTTTTACACTGTGTTAAGTGGTTGTATACCTGCCTTAGTGGACACTATGTGCAGCCAAAAGAAGACCAGGTATTTGCTGATTCGCCATCACAAGGCTGGGATTTATTAAATTTCTCAGGGAGCTAGAGGTACAACTCTACAGCATTTGCCTGGGATGCATAGGGTTCGATTCCTAGCAACACACACACACACACACACACACACACACACACACACACACACACTCATTTATATTTATGGTACATTATGTGTCTGATACTCTCCTGGGGTCTGGATTCATAACAATGAATAAAACAGACAAAATCCCCTCTATACTTCATGGACTTTAGAGTACAGACAACAAACCGCAAATAAATAATGTGTATGGCATGTTATAGTGCCATAAGAATAATGAAAAAATAGAGCAAGGAAAGGAAATAAAAGATAGCCTGGAGCAGACATGACACAATACATATGATAACTGTAACTATCAAGGAAGCATGTAGCTATCACTAGCATCTGAATGTCAGAGTACATGACTTTAAATAGAATATTATAAGTGTGCTAGAAATACTATAATTGCTTTGGGTTTGTTAATATAATTTAATTTTAAAGCAAAATATAGAAAGAAAAAAAAAGGGAGTGGATGTGTTTAAAGACTGAAAGACTTAAAATCTGAGGTCCCATAGTTAAATTACTGTACCTAATCTACTTTACCCATTAAATACAGCTATGGAAAGTCAGCAATAAACTTGGTAAAAGTAACTTTATATACTAGATAAAACTTAGTAATGTATCCTTTTCAGGTGTCCGCTTTTGTTAACAGACAGGCAAATACATGATCAGCAATTTCTTTTACATGAATGGGAGACGTCCCTAGCCCCGCTTCTGTCCCTCATCACACCAGGCCTTGAAGCAGACAAAAAGGTTGTAAGTGTAAGAGAGGCCTTTCCTACAAAAAGTCCCTGAGTTAACTGTGTACTCAACAGGATGAAGGTATACTTGGAGTGTTGCAGCAAGAGAGAAGCACTCAGTCTAAATTCAGAAACCGAGGCAATGATTCCTAAAGAGCCATCTTAGCAGTATTAAATAACTAGGCAAAACTTTAAAAACTCTTGGGGAGGGACATCCAATTTCAAGCAAAAATACTACCAAGAGCCAAGGCAGCAACACTGTGGGGCAAGGTAAGCACACAGCACAGGAAGCCTAGAAGGTCTTGGAGCAGGGAATGAAGACACGGTGAGTTCACAGTGGGCTAGTCATGGAGCTTGCGACAGTCCTGGTAATTTCTAGGAAGGGCCAAGCAACCAGGATGTATATGCTTGAAAGGCAATATCTGGATGGAGATGACAAAAACAGCTTGTGCAAATATAGCAGTATTTTAATCAAGCAAATAAGAAACATCCTGATTAACAAGCTTTAAGAAAGACTTAGCATACAAACTTCAAAAGGATATTTTCAGTGATAACTGAGTCTTGAATCAGTGAATATTATGCTCCCTCTAAAAAATAATGAGGCAGTATGTTTCCCATTTGTGTTAAGTATGAAATATTTTCAATACCACAATGCCTAGGCCTCAAAAGCTGATAAGGATGGCAAGAAAAAAAGATCATGAAATCAGCAGCATCACTCCAATGCAAATCTTTCAAGATTAAAATAGGGGTCATGCCAGCTTTAACAAAAAAGTGGTGCAAAGACAAACTTTATAAAGGCACAGAGAAAGGGGCAGGGGGGATGGGAGCAAGGGATGGAAAGGAAGGAAGCATGGCTAAGCTAATAATTTTCCCAGTTCCTAAGGAAGACATTTATACATGGGAATAATAAAGCAGCTTGTAAGGCACAATATTAAGGGGAAACATTTCCAAGTTGGAATTTATCTTCCTTCTTGTTTGGTTTTGTTTCTGTTTTCACACTTATTTATTGTGTGTGCAGAGCTTAGAAGATAACTTGCAGAAGTTGGCTCTCTTCTACCATACCGGTTCTGGGGATTGAACTCTGGTCAACAGGCTTGATAGCAACAGTCTTTAGTGGCTGAGCCATCTCACAGGGCCCCTTCCTTTTCTTAAGGGAATCTAAAGGCTTAGTATTCCAATTCCATGCCCTAATAAGAAAATTCATTTCTAATTAAAGTAACTGCAGAGAACAGCAGCTCCAAAGACATTAACAAGTCTAACAATTAAGCGCAAACTAGTTGGCCTGGTGGTACAGGCTTGTAATCACAGGGACTCTAAGACTCTAAGACAGGAGGACAGGCCGGGCGGTGGTGGCGCACGCCTTTAATCCCAGCACTCGGGAGGCAGAGGCAGGCGGATCTTTGTGAGTTCGAGGCCAGCCTGGTCTACAGAGCGAGATCCAGGAAAGGCGCAAAGCTACACCGAGAAACCCTATCTCAAAAAAAAAAAAAAAAGACAGGAGGACAGGAAGCTCAAGGCCTGTGGGCAACTTATGTGGGACTCTTGCCTTCAAATAAAAAATATATATATATTTTAATATGGGCTGGGGGTGTAGATCAGTGGTAGAGTGCTTGCCTAGCATAACCAAGTAGCAGGGTTCAATCCTAACCCTCAGAAGTAGTGGACCCACTGTGTATTCTAAAATTAACTCATTTAAAAAAAAAAAAAAAAAAAAAAAAAAAAAACACCAAACAGATTACTTCACATGAAAAAAGAATATAAACAAATTGCAGGAGTAATCCTTTTCACAGGCTCAGCTTCAACGGCTGCATTTTCTTCCTCCCACTAGAAAAAAGTTGAAATGGTTCAATGGTGGAAATTACACAAGGACGCTGCAATTTCCCTGCTCCTATCAATCTGAAATTAAGGAAGGAATATCCCTTAAACCTGAGAGTATCTACAAGAGCACTGCATATGTTAGGAAAGTACAAAGAAACTCTGCCTTCATTCTAGGGTAAGAGCAAATGGGATTTACAGCAATTACACAGCACTTTCCCAACCCCTAAGACCATCACCCCTCACTAAAAGTGGAAGACCTAGATTATAATCCTAGCTCATATTTGGATGAAGTAGGAAGGCCGACAACACAAAACCAACAGTGACAGGAGTGTGTCAGCCATTTCTTGGTAGTATCAACCAAGCCTAAAAAGTTTGTAAACTTGTTGCAAATCTGAGTAGTTGCAGCTACTTGAAGGCACTATTTATTGTAATTACCATTAACAACCTGATGTCCAAATTTGCACTGAGCATTTTAAAATTACACTTTAGATAAGTTTGTGATGACTTCTTCAAGAAAACAGTGAAATATTTGTTTCCTTAGAATTCAAATGTATCTTTGTCAAATTCTGTACATATTTAGGGAAGCCAATAAGTTCAATTCTTTAAATCTCGGTTTTGTTTTGTTTTGAACAAAATGGGGCAAGCCCCCAGAACATTAAATATAAAATTGCTGCTACTTAATTTCAGCTATTCTTCTACAGAATGTAGTAATATCAATGCTAACAAACTTGTACACCCATATAATCATCTATTTTCTCTCTGAATCCTACTCAAATATAGTATAGCTCCTTTCTCCAAACTTACATTCTGCTTCAGAACCTGTCTTCTACTCGAGATACATATGATCAAGGGGAGGGGGGGGGCAACTAACAATAAATTAAAATTGACAGCTATAAGGTAGAATATTAAAAACAGCAATTCAGTAACAATAAAAATATCAAAACAGCCAACATCCACATGCTTGTGTTACATCAGTCTTATGAGGCTTTTATAGATGAGAAACTCTGCCACCAAGAAGATAACTTCTAATGACTAAGAGGCCAAGCCATTTTATTCATGTAAATAAGTCATCGAGTCACATTAGTAGTCCAAAATACAAGATGAAATATATTTCTAATTAGTGCAAGTTTTAAGGAGAAATATACAACTAAAAAAAAGTAGACCTTCAGAAAGCATTTCACTTTAGCAACTCTAGCAAACCTCCTGAAGCTCTTTCTTGTACAGCTTGATTACAAAACTGTCTTTTGGTATATTAAGCACGGAGAAAAGCCACAACTATTTCAACTTCTGTAAATTAACCCTGACTGTACATAAGGACAGCCAATCAAGTTGTGGGAGTATGAAAATCGCACACTGAATATACTATCAGACCACACAAAAAAGTGAATATCACTCTTCTTTCCTCTTGTGGTCTTGCTAACATCAACTCAAAACAAATCACAAGTGCATTTTAAATATTCACCTCAATTTGAAAAGGAAAGTAGCTAAATACCCTATTAAAAACTCCTTGGTTAACTGTGTACTACAAACTAATTCCACTGCAGCCATGGGAAGCCCTCTTGTTTATTCAGTTACGGAAAACTTCAAAGTTTCAGTTTATGATTAAGACAAAGTTCCAGTCTCAAATGGAAGTAAGATTGAGAGATCATTTTCTACAGGCAATTTTCTCACATTTCGAGTCAGTCCAAATTCTAGGCCACTTAATACCAAAAAATAAGGGGGAAACAGGATTACAGTCACTGAAAGTCGCAATACGCAATGACCTCAACTCTGAAACAAACTTAATGTTCTATTATACACCACTGAGAAGCAGGTGGTAAGAGGTTCCTGGCCTGTTCCCATGAGTCTTCACACTCGATTTTTATTTTTTAACTCTTTCAAAGTCGGCCTTGCTCAAATCTACCCAAAGGAAGGGGAAAAGGTAGCAGCATTCCAAACACACACTCGAGCAACAGGATCTTAACTTCCTGGTTCTAAAGGAATGCGATTCCCTAATGAGCAATCTCTCCCCGAAGCAGCAAGCGCGGCTGTCTGGCCGGTCTCCGGCGGGACCGAGGGGGGCGAGGCCACGGCGCCGCACTGCGGGTCCCCGGAACCCGCCCGCTCGACCTCGGGGCGCTGGTGGCCTGCGACCCCAGCCCATTCTCCTCAGCTGCATGGGCAAACCCACAAGGGCCAAGGGGACGCGGCCTCGGGGACGACTCTGCACACGTCTCACTTCGCTCCAGTCCTCTCCAGCCAGGGCCGTGTCAGTCAGGTCCGACCCCGGCCCGCAGGTCCTCCCAGGTCCAGGATAACCTGGGCCGCCCAGGCCACAGTCCGGCCTGCCCTGCCGGTCCCTCCATGGCCCTGCCCCTCTCTCGGTCCTCCCCAGCGCCGGCCCCCGCCGGGCCCCGGCCCTGTGCCGTCCCTCCTCGGCCGGGCCCAGCCCTGCCCGCCACTGGCCCAGTCCCTCCGGGAAGATGGCGGCCCAGTGACAGGCTGGTGCAGACGCGGGTCCGAGCACGGGGCGCGGAGGGAGGCCGCCCCGTCGGTGGCCGAGGACGGCCCGCTCACCTGTCAG